AGAACAACAGATTCTTTATTGGTCAAGTGTGATTGGACACACAAGGAATTTGTCTTGATGCAAATGCTCTCAGTGTAGGTAAAAGAAAAGAAACATTTGTAATAAAGAATAAAGAAACCATTAGAGAGCATTGAGCCAGCGTTTTCCAAATACTTTTTCCACAGTCATGTGGCCAGCATGGCTATATGCCAAAGGCTCATTGAATATTATTGCCTTCCCACCGAAGTGATAGCACTAGCGCTAGCATTTAGACTTATATACCGCTTCACAGTGCTCCACAGCCCTCTCTAAGTGGTTTACAGAGGCAGCCTATTTCCCCCAACAGTCTGGGTCCTCATTTTACCCACCTGGGAAGGATGGAAGGCCGAGTCAACCTTGAGCCTGGTGGGATTTGAACTGCCAAATTGCAGGCAGCCGGCAGTCAGCAGAAGTAACTTGCAGTACTGCATTCTAACCAGTGGTGGGGTTCAACCGGTGTAACAGCTGGTTCGGTGAGCAAACTGGTTGTTGGTGCGCACAGTGCGTTTGAAAACAGCTCTAAAACGTACTTTCGACTGCAGCCCCAGTAAGTAAAACAGCTGAGTCGTGGCAATCTGGTTTGCCGTGCCTATCAGCTGGGCTTCAAACAAAGGAAATATAGGCCAGACTAGTGCAGGGGCGGGTGGGCGGGGCCAACTGATTGCCGGAACTACCGGTTCGCCTGAACCGGTCCGTACTGACTGAATCCCACCCCGATTCTAACCACTGTGCCACCGCAGCTGTTGCAGAGGAGGGAGTGGAAAGGATGTATTTCTGCCTTTGCCCAGTGCACTCCCCATTAACGACCCCTTCTCCTCAGCCCTTCCTACACGCGATACTGTCGGGACCGCTTCTCAGATGGACACTGCGACAGGGGCTGCCACTCGGCATCCTGTGGCTGGGATGGTGGGGACTGCGCCTCTTCTGTCCCACCAGCGGAATCCACGTTGGCGCTGGTGGTCCTGCTACCCCGGGAGAGCGTGCCGGAGCTCCTGCGTTCCCTGGTCACCGCCACACGGGCAGAGCTAAGGATTCAACGGGATCGTCAGCACCGCGAGCGGATTTACCCTTACACGGGGAAGGAAGAGCTGGGGAGCCAGAGCAACTGGACGGGGATTCGGACAAAAGATTTGGCAGAGACCGTCGGGTAGGATGGGCTCTCTTATTTCTCATTGATATCTCTATCCCAGGGGTCTCCAACCTTGGCAACTTTAAGACTTGTGGACTTCAACTCCATTCTTTTAGAGAATAATTGAGGCCACCTAGAGGCTTATCTCTGTCATCCAGGTGGCCTCAATGACTCTCTAAAAGAATGCAAATGACCAGCTGTCTGCAAGGAGTATAAATCCTTCCATTCCCCACCATCCAGTCAGAGCCGAAGAAGCTTCTTGGACGAGAAGTGAAACATCTTCAAAGAAAAAACAGAAAGTCCAGTTGCCTGTTTAAAAAAAAAGCATCTTTGAGACAACCATGACCTGGATGACTGAGAAGCTCCATAGACACTCACATGGATGGTCGATCAAATGACGTCCTTAGGTCCTAGCTAGATGCAATTATCATAAAATTCATTTATGAAACATTTCTTTCAGGATTTCATCAGTAATGTATAAAGAGTAATGCTCTTTATAAATAGATAAGTCTTTGTAGGGTTTTCCAAGTTCTGTAAACTATTACGAAACTTCGTCTCTGTGGAGAGATAGCATTGCATATCAGCCTACAGAGATCTTCCCTAAATGGGGGTGAAAACCCCCACAGTTCTGGCTGCTCCAGCTGTTGGAAGGACTGTGATGACCCAGGGCATGACACAAAAGCAACAAAGTCACAAAAGTAGGGAAAGTCCCTTTAATTCATCTAACTTGGCCCCCAATGTCCAGTTATCATCGGCTGGAGAAAAAACTCTCCCAAGAACAGTTTTTAAAAGGAAGAAATTCAATCTGAACCCAAAGTAAATATAAATTATAAATAAAAACCAACACAAACCATGCTGCAGCAATTAACGAGACAGGGTAGGATAAGGAATTGCAGAACTCAAAATACAACGAAACACACACAATTGGGAGGACGCCAGATAAGAGTTGACAAACAAAGATAATGCACGCTTTGCTTTCAGCAAGGTTCTGCGCGCAAACACCTTTTATATCCTGTTTCCCCAGCTGCAGCTAATGAAGGGAACCAGGGCTTTTTTCTCCCCCGTAACCCACGTTGCTCCCTTATTCATTCCTCCCTGCCCTAGGATGAAGAGGAGGTGGGCCTGGGTCTTCCTCTGACTGCCCAGCCAGACTGTGCCCTTCCCCAGTTTCTTCCACAGCCACCAGAGCCATAATCCCACTCCCTGTCAGCTGTTCGACCTTCCCCTGGAATCAGATTCCAACAGGGGCATGACAAGGACAGACACCTGGGTGATAGATGGAGGAAGTAATTCCAGGAAAATATAGTCGCTTTACTTATCAGTCTCCTTTGTTTTGTCTTCACTGCAGATATACTGTCTTCCTGGTTGTGGAAGGGAGCTCGTGCCAAGGGCAGTGCCCCACTTCTGCCAAATCTGCCCTGAACCTTTTGGGCTCCTTGATGGCCAAAGAGATTTTGTCATCCTTGATCCCACACCGAGTGGTAGCAGCCTGGCTTGAAGTTATAGAAAACGGTATGTGTGAACATAATATAAGTTTCTGAGTGTGTGAGAGAGACAGAGGGAGACAGAGAAAGAGAGGGAGGGGGAGAGAGAGACAGAGAGAGAGATGAAGGGGGAGAGAGAGAGAGAGACAG